GAGTCGGAACATTTATACTTTATGGAATATATCTATTATTTATGTTTGGAGGAGAAAATTATTCAAATAAAAGTTACTGCTAATATTATTATCTATATGCCAAATTTTCCTAATGGTCCGTATTCGAGAAGTTTGACAAAATGTGCCAAATTCTGATTTTTAAGAAAATTGTTGAACTAAAAGTTGTTTGCGATATCGATCTTTATAATTTTTGTTTAAACATGATTTGTCTAAAATGGACCGTAATGGAAAAATTGTAGGAAAAGTGCTATATTAATATTTTTCTGTATTTCCGTTTTCAATGAATAACTATGAAAAAATGTTTCGAGGTAGATGTATGTGGAAAATGTATATATTTAGTTTATCCTCTAAATATTTATAAAGGTGTTACAATAGGTTGTACAAAATAACCAGAAAAAGCCTATAATAACTGGATAGGAAAGTCATGTGTTGGACACATCAGATTTTTTTAAGTAAAAGACCAATCTATAGCTACATAATTGTTTTCATTTATTTGAATACCTAGAAACATATTACAGCAAAAACTACATATTGGTAGATCATTTTGTTTAATAAAACACCAGTCGCAAAGTATTTTTAAAGTTGACTATGACTTTGTTCACACGCCCAAATTTTTATCCTATGACCAATACTAGCCAATAGTTATGAGAACAACCTGCCAATTCATGCAATATTCATAGGTTTTTACAGGCATACCACTGGATAGATATGCGATATACACTAAGTATAACAATATTAGAAATAGCGCCAAAACTAAGCAGTCCAAATTTTACAATCAGAAACCTTTTAAAGGAAAAGCTATAAAAGTGTTTTTCTACATCCAGATGGATATTGGCTTATCTACACACAGACTACAAAACGAAAAAGTATGATATTGCGTTCAACTAATCAAGTACATTTTATATTCATTCTAGTTAGTGAGAACAGTAAAAAAAATTAAATCAACCAATCATAGATCATATTTTGGACACCCAACTAATATTATTTTTAAAATTTTTAATAAGAGACAATTCTGTCAAACTAATAAATGTCAGCATATTTTTTTAGTTATTAGGATTAAATTGATATTAATATGAATTAGTTTTGTGTAGAATCGATAAATAATAGCATTTTTATTTTTATTTGGTACAAATTTTGAAATTTTAAATATAGAATATAAATCAAACTATATGAAACTAATTTAGTTACGAGTATTAAAACTTATATCCTAAATGTAGAGGTGGAGATGGGGATACGGCATCTGTCTTCCGCGTGAGAGGCCCAGGTTCGAATCTGGGCGGTGAACCAATTAAATTGAATCTCTCTCTTGTTTTCATGTTTATTTTATTTTATAAACTATTAGAGGTCATAAAAATTTTAAAATTAATTATTTTGTCTTAATAACATAAAAAAAATTTTTAAATTTGTATATTTTCGTTGGAAGGTCGTAGAAAAAATATACTGTACAACTCGAGTGGATGGTCCATATCGCACTTAGACGATTGAAGACTCCGCCTACGGCGTCGTGTTCAAACTTCCTCTTGCGATATGGTCATTTTATCCACTCTTGTTGCACAAACCACTATTTTAAAAAATCAATTCCAAAAATGAAGTTTGATATTTTTTTTATGGATTCCCTCATCAGGTTTTAACTAAATTTATATTATGGAACCACACCCCTAAGGTACTTTCTTATCATGGAAATCGGACAAACATAGTAAAAAAATTACCATTGAACTTACCTACATAAAAAATACTCTGACGAATTGAAAATTTACTCATTTTTTTTAGTCGGTGAAGAAGAGGAGAACGACAATGTGATACCCTCTCAAGAACCATTTTCATTTTGCTTCTGTAGGAAACCCAAGTAACAATTTTGTGCACTATAATTGCTCTAAGAACGTTTACACAAAACAAAAACAAAAACATTTTGAAAATAATCATACGACAACTATAGAATGAAAATGGGAGCTGGTCTTGGAATTCTTTCATAATATAAAAGATTCTGTAACTATTGCACATCACTATTACAAAATAGTTCTAAGAACGTTTTTCCAACCATTAAAGAACACTGTATTAAACTTCTCTTTAATAATACCAATTTAGTGTCAAAAATGTATGTTACTGACCATAAATAGAGCTTTTAAGCGACTGTTCTATAAATGCTGTTTTAAAAATGTTTATGAAATTTTTATATCATATAATATTTATTAATTAATTTGGAACTAGCATTTAGAAAACAGAGTTAAAAGAGCGTATATTGCTTATGAACAATGCCGCCGAACAGTGAGGCGCACCTGGGGTTTCTCCCCGAGAGTCGTCGCACGGACTTACACATCTATCATAAGACCTATGCTAATACACGGTGCAGTTGTCTGGGTACCGAAAACCCAAAAATTAACAGCTATCCGTGAACTAGAACAAATTCAAAGAACAGCATATCTCAACATAACAGGAGTCATAAAAACAACATCGACCAGCGCCATGGAAGTCATTCTTAGTCTCATTCTCCTTGATATTTACATCAAGGAGGTTGCTCTGATGACAGTGTCACGCCTTCGCTGGGTTAGAATAGAACCTGATGTAGGATCTGGTGAGGCGAGACGTCACTTTTGGCAGGAGGCGCACGATACGCTGCCACTGCTTCAAGTGAATATGGACTCCATTTCACCGAGATATATCTTCCATAAGCCATATAAAGTTATAATAGAACAAATAGAAGAGCCAGAAGTGGCAGATATGATTCATATCTACACCGACGGTTCTAAAACAAAACAAGGCTCAGGATGTGGAATATACTTTAGATTCTTAAACCTAAACATAAAACGGGCTGTAAGCAATAGTGCCACTGTAGTTCAAACAGAGCTAACGGGGATTCTTATAGCAGCATAAGAAATAACCAGAAATAATATCACTGGAAGGAACATGCTCATCTATACAGATAGCAGACAAGCACTACTCACCCTGAACAGACTACGAATTTATTCAGGTTTAGTACTAGAATGTCACGAAGGTTTGGCCGAAGCATCCGTCAACAATGTGGTCACCTTAAGATGGGTCAAAGGTCACGCCATATCGAAAGGTAGCCGTCTTGCCGATTCACTAGCCAAGAAAGCTGCCAATCTAATACTTTTTGGATCTGGCCCTTCTATTGGCCTAATAAAATCGGTAGTGACAGACCTAAATAAAGAACATTCCCTTGTAAAATTCAAGGAAAGATGGGATGAATCAAGGAACTGCAGAGTTGCCAGGCAGCTCTTAAGTTATCCTGACCAGACTGCAGCAAACAAATACTTGACTATGACTAGACAGAATCTGCGCCTAGTCACAGGCATTCTGACTGGTTATTGCCAAGTACGGAATTATCTCCATATCAAGAAGATGAGACCATCGAGAATATCCTATACGATTGCTCGACGCTCTCATTTATTAGAAGAGTTTTGTTTGGTGGGTATCGACTAACACCGGCCGATATAAGAGAAGCACCTCTTGGCGACGATGTCAATTACATTAAATCTGTGGGCTGGCTTACGAGCTATGAGGTGCCTATCATCTTAGAAAAATGCACAATGGGTCTAATGAGGCCTAAGTGCCGTGGGGGTAACTCGCCCTCCACACGTTACAGCTACAAATACTTTGCTGTGAAATATATAGTATTCATTATACATTTGTTGTAAAAATTTTACGCGCCACGTGATTAATAAGTATTTCTAAAATTATTATTAAATTGGTTTCTGTTCTTTAGAAAAAGTGTACTATATGAATAATAATGCAATAAAATTAAACAAGTGACTTTGTTGTTTTGTTATTTTAGGGAAACATAAATAATTTAAAATTGCATAAATCACATAAAACATTTCTCAAGATGGCCGTTGATAAGTGACTGTTTATTATTTAACAAATATGGCTGTTTGTTTTTAAAACAGTTTTAATCATTTTGTGATAGAGAGCAAGTAAGTTTTGGTATAAATGTCTGGATTATTTAAAATGCGTTCCAGGGATGAATCTAAAGCATACACTACTTACTCTTCTCGTACTTGACATCCTTGCTGGCCCACTACTTGATTATCTACAACTAGGGATTATATTCCAACTTTCATAATTCTATTTTAAATAATTTACTACCTCTTAGGATCACTTCTGACATGGGCATATATAACTTGTTTCCACTTGCCTAACAACAACCTCTTTTTGCAAAGGTTGTTATGTATCTTTAACATTTAACGGTACTTTGTCCTTTTTACCATTGTTTTTAATTTACAAAGTTTTTCCCACGTTTAATTTTCTTCCCTCATTAAATTTTGGACATTTTTTTGTGCGACGCTTGCGTTGATAAATTGTATTCAATACTTTTTAAGGCATTTTTAAATAATCACGTTGGAGACCTCACTTCACGCAGTATTGTTCGCGCTTATTAACCTTTACTTAGGTATTGTATTTTTGTAATATCGATCTTCTTTCATTTGTAGACCTGATGATGGCATAATGCCGAAACCAGTTGTCTTATAATCAATAAATTTTATTTATGTGTGACTGATTTTGAGTCATTTCTTACCTTTCTTACCCTTCTTCAGTAAATTAAGTATTGGTTTATATTTATGAGATCGGAAGAAATATATGTAAACAATGTAAGTTTACCAAGATTTAAAGAATTATAGAGGATATTTCATAAAGACCTGACTTACTTTTTAAGGCTGATTGTACGTCAAAAAATAATGTTAAGTTGAAAAGTGGTAACCTTTTAAAGGGGGTTGACACTCTTATTACCCGTTTTCGGACATTTGTTATTTAAGTAAACTGACACATTATTTTTTGACGTACTATAGCCTTAAAAATAAATCAGGTCTTTATTAAACACCTTGTACGTTAATCTGTGAATTTTTAAAAATGCTCTATGAATTAGACGTAGTATGAAATAAAATATAAAACTAAATCACTTCAAATAATTTATTTATAAAATAAATACGTATATATACACAGTCAGGGGCTTAAATTTTACTTTAGTGATAGTATTGAGTGGGAGCCGCATACGCTACAGGAGCAGCAGCGAATTTAGCTACGGGAGCAGCATACGCTACTGGAGCAGCGATTTTAGCTACAGGAGCAGCATAAGCTACTGGAGCAACTGCTTTAGCTACTACAGCTTTTTGCACCAAAGGTTCCCTATGTACAACAGCATTGAAACCGTTAAGTGGGTCAGCTGTGTAGTCTACAGTGCGTTTGAATCCGTCAGCGTCGACGAGCGAGTAGCTTCCTTGAACAACGTCTCCGTCTCTGAATTCGTGTTGGTGTTTGTTGTCACCGGTAAGGCCATCTTGAATTTCGTATGCGAAATTGTATTGTGGGTGGGGGTCGTAGTCTTCGACAGCTTTGGCTACAGGTGCTGCTATCACGGCTTTAGCCACGGGAGCTGCGTAACCTACAGGAGTAGCTGCGTAGCCGATTGGGCCTGCTGGAAGAATACCGGCAGAGGCAACGGCTAAGAGGGCGGCAAATGCGATGAACTGCAAAAGAAGATAGGGGATTAAATTACAACACTACCATCCATATTTACGAAGCATATTTAAATATTTGCCTACATTTAAATTATAAAAAAAGATAGATAGATATTGATTTTTTAAATACACTGTAAATCGTTAGTATGATTAGTAAAGTTAATTATTAACTATTAATTATTAAACAATATTTTTAAATATTATCAGTTATTAAATACTAGTCTGGCATATTTTTTAAATATCTGTATATTATTTGGACATATTTTTTTAAAAATTTCTTAATTTCTTAATAAATTCTCGATTTTTAAAATAACTTCCCCTCTTTGTAAAATTAACGAAAATCATAAAAAAAATAAAAAAATGAAAAAAAAAATAGTATACTGACCTAATAGTACCTAAACATTTTTTGAATTTTATGTAATTGCAAAATACGCTTAAAATTTAAAAGTTGTCGATTTTCAAAAACATTCGTAGATATGGATAAAAAAAAAATTAGTACATAGTATTGAAACCGTATTTTTTAAAATTATGTTGAATGCAGTTAACTTTTTTTGGCAGCATAAAGACAGCAAGTTTGGAGTTTTAAATTGCACGTTAGTATCTCCAGGAATATTTCATGCAAAACTAAAAATTTATTTAAGTATTTTAAAAAATTAAATTTGACTAATAATTTATCAAAAATTTGTGTTTTTGGTAAAAATAAATAAATTTCATTCCAGCACATACCACTAGTAAAATATAATAAAAATAGGGAATATACACAAAATTTTACTACTAAAACTTCTAAATAAAGAAAATACACTATTTCGTACCTTAAACGCCATGTTTGCAAATTTTCGTTTCTTAAGTTGTAAAGGACTTAATTTCGACTATACTACTTCAAGTCATGTAACTCTTTTTATATTGACATAATGCTCCAGTTTCTTCGCAAAATTTCATAATGAGCTCCCTTGACCTTCTTGATGTAGGCATCGCCCATCTTGAATTTACTTTCGATATACCGAATTTTTTCATAATGGGTTGACGGTTAATACTTAGAGCAAGGTCGTAGATGGAGAAAGGACAAGGGGATTCATATACTAATTTCATAATAATTAAATGATAATTATGATGATTGTCTAAAAATACTCAATCGGTTATATATTTTGGTTTCTCATTAAAAAGAACTCTATTTCTATTTCGACTTCAAAAAAAGGAGGTTCTCAATTCGTTATATTTCTTTTATGCATATTCAACGATAATTCTTTATCACATTGTCCTATTTCTATGATTCTTTTTTTGTTAGAAAGAAGATACCTAAGGGGTGGTCCCATATACAGTTGATCAGGATCTGAGAAAATAACAACTCTATTTTTAATGTCATCTGCACGATTTTGAAGTCAGTTTTTTAAAATTACTTTTATAACTTCTTTCTAAATCACTTTAAGCAATTTACAATACAATATACCAGAGCAGTGGCTTGAGAACGGGTTTTTTTTGGAGTACCACAGGAAACTGTTATGTGGCCAATTCTTTTTACACTCTACGTAAATAGTTTAATGTATAAAAAAATTCAGAGAAATATTATCAGCTTTGCCAATGATACCGCTGTTTTGTGTCAGGCTGAAAAAATGGCTCTTACGAAACTGCATCCCAAAAAAAGGATTCCTACCTGATTCAAAACAAGTCACAACGAAATTGCATACCCAGAAGATAAGGGTCACTTATCGAAGGCTAAGCAAATTTATCTGTAATATTGAGTCATTGTTGCTACCTTTTGCGTTGTTTATTAAAAATTCTACAAAACGTACTCTTTATATTCAGTCAGTAAGATTTTCAGCAAATAATTTTTTAGCCAGTAAGGTTTTAAGAATATTGATTCTTTTTAGTAACTTCTGTTATTTTATTAATTAATCAAGGTATTTTGTAAATTGACTAATTGGCAATAATTCAACAAAAACTACATATATAAATGTTTATTAAAACTGTAAAATATAATTAAAACAGCTCTAAATTTATACGAAATTAATTTAATAAAGTCGAATTTACTTATTTTATGTTGATTTAAGTCACTCAGCAAATCTTTGAGAAATCTTCTTCTCCTTAAACATCGAGTGTCAAGTTTTTTTGGGATTAAGACACTGTTAATTTTTATATATGTATCAATTTGAAATTGAGTTATCACATTTATAAAAACATTTACATTAGGGTGAGCGGCTTAAAAGGAAGCATTATATTTCGAATGAAAAGACTCACAACAATTGGTGGTTCTCTGCAAAGAAGAAGAATGCTCTGTCCATATAAATGGTAAAAAAGAGTCTTCTGCAATATTATTGACAACGAGATAATCACAAACCTGCGCAACTTTTTCATTGACAGGCTTAAAAACAGGTTAAAATTTTGATATTTCCGTTTCACTCTCCCCCTTTTTTTGGTACTCTGAAGCTAAGCCCAATTTCTAAATTTTTCGGTACCATGATTGCCCTAAGTGAAAGCGACAACCTCGTAGACTTGCTTCTGGAAACGCCTTGTAGATGCTTTTATGAATAGTAATCTCAAAATCTGGTGTTATCATTTTTGGCGAAACAGGGTGGTTAATTTGACACACTCCTCTATTATATACTTAGAAACAAGATTGAATGATAAGAATGTTTTATTAGGAAGAACACAAACAACTAATGTAATGTTATGATAATTTTTAAGACCATGAATTGTAAACAAGTGAGTAAAAAACGGGGACAATATTCAAATGTACCATTAACTTACCAACAAGAAGCAAATAAACACGAAAATATGACAATATTATTTTCTCTGCCATTTTCAAGCAAGAAGTTTTCTTTCTGATTGGTTAAAATAGGAGACGACTCAATTACCGTATGAAATTCGGAAATATTTTTAGAATTTTTAAAAAGAAGAGAAGATCTAGCATTGTATATATTTTACCTTAACCTTACAATGTCCTTTGTTGTTAAGGTCTCGACTGCAGAATTTTTAATTTCATTTCTAATGAGTTTTAAGGGGTTTTTACAAATATCCTCCACAGCTTTACGCTTAACTGAATTACTCACGAGATGTCTGTTAAAAACTTTATCCGATAACTTTTCATGATTGTGATCCAAAACTGATTGCACTATTATATTGTCAGATCCTTGAGTTTTTTACAAATGCCTTATATGTTCGCTTACTGCATTGCCATCGTTTTACTGTTAGTTACATTCATGCCGTTGTAAAAACCATTTAGAGAACTCAATTTTTCAGGAGAAATGTTTAAATTAAACATGGAGTAGCCTGCGGTGTGCTGCGGTTGTCAATATACACCTTGACCAATAAATTTAGGGAGTAAGAGACAATTTTGGGGCTCTCTGCTGTAATTGTTTCTTGTTGGACTTCGGAAGATTCATCTACGTGAATTTCTGAACTTATTCCTCGATTCTATATTTATAAAACGAGTCCTTCTTCTACAGGTTCTTTGAAAATGTCCGATTCTTCCGCAATTGAAGCATCTTCTGCTCTAATTCTGGATATTTCATTGAATATTTTGCAGGATCTTTAACATTTGTAAAAAAATAGGATAAGAATAGTATTAGTAGTGGCCTCTTCATTTTCCTAGAATCTAATTTCTCCTAATTTTGCTTTATATACCTGGACTAAAATCAATATCTCACTTAGCGTCTTGTGATGTAGCCGAAGAGCGTGCTGTATTTATACATCATGTACTCCATCAATGAATGCCTGTATGCTGATGTATTCTAGGAAATCTTTGAAAGCCTGTGGATAGGCCAGATTCAGCAATTTTTTTTTATCAGCTTCAAATTCCTATAAATTCTCACTCAATATGTTTCTGACCACGAACCTTTAGCTGGCTTTGGAATACTTGTTTTAAGTGCTGCTGGCCATATCTGGTCTCTTAAACGTAGATGAGAGACGAATAATTGGGTTCTTCTTGTTATCTATTTCTCGGCCCAGCTATGGCTTTAGCTGCCACTTTAAATTGGGGTCAATACGTTTCCCATTTTGTCTGACCGTCAAACTTGCTAGTATGGTTTTGTGAAATTATTGTACTTTAGACATTTCTTGTTGTTTTAAATTGTCTTATTGTTGCTCTAAATGAGTTTTTAAATAATGTTGCTGCTGTTCTAAATTAGTTTTTAAATTATCTTACTGCTGTTTTAAATTGATTTTAAAATATCTTGTTGTCATTCTAAAAGATCTACTCGAATATTAAGCTAACCAACCTCTTGTTTGAAGGTTTCCTAGAATCGTAACAAACCATTTATAATTTTCGCCATTTCTTTTCTTCGTCTCTCCTCCTTCTCTTATTTCTAGCCCTTTCTGCGCCCTTCCTTTTTCTCTGTTTGCCTTCCTTTCTCGTCTAATTCGTCCTTCCTGTTCATTTTCTTCTTCTTCGTCCTTTCTGGGCCTTTCTTTTTCCGTTTCTTCATCATACTTGAACCTTTTCTTTCCTATTCTTCCTACTTCCTGTGCCTTTCTTTTTCCTCTTCCATATTCTAGAAGTATCCATACCTATTCGTACACAATGCATCTAGTATTCACCATTAACAGAATACTTAGATAACCTTTAGTTTTGCTCCCACCGCTGTCACCAATTGTTACGCTGGTTTTTGGTTACTTAATTTATTAACAGCTCAACTTTTACAACTTATTTATACAACTATTAACAAAAACGTACAACGTCTATCATCAAACTGAACTGTAACGTCAATATTATTGACTTATATAGCTCCCTTAAACCTTCTCGAACATTTTTGTACCTTTCAGATGTTTTCGGACATGGAATGAAATTTCTAGACTGTTCTCTGTTCTTAGTGTATTTATACTTTTACTTATTACAACCTCAGCACACTGAAGGGTGATGGATGACATTGCACTTCTTCTATTATTCGTACGTTTCCTATAACAGCCGCAGGCTACTGTAGGGTGCAGGGTAACTATATTTTTGTTTGACTTATCCCACCTGATCTACAATCACCCACGCACTTCTTATTGGATCTTCCTCGATAGCATACTGAACAGATAAAGACACTGCTGAAATCAGGCGACTGACTTCCAAAAACCATGATGAATCGTGATACATATTTATAAGAAATACTGAAAAACTGATTGAATATATATAAAATATATATAAATAAATATATATAAAATATATAAATAATTTGTTTAACGTTTCATACACAAGTCCACACCCGGATTTAGATGTTTAAATTTTGTATCGTTCTTATTTTACATTTTTTTTTTTTAAATATTTTAACGACATTTTTTACAGTTAAAAAAAGTATCAACTTAGGATTCACCCTGTTGAAACCACTGGATTATAATTGGTTTTTGCCCTATTTTAGAAAAATTTGGAAAACGCTGAGACACATCAACTTTTAAACTTAATTGTATTTTCTCCTAAGAGGGTGATTCACATAAGTCTAGCACTGTTTGTACTATTTCAATGAAACACCCTGTATTATTTTATATTTTTAAGAGCTGATTTTAAGGAACAATACCATTTACGTCTATATAAATTACACAGCGTAAACTTTTGATATTGTTTATTAATTCCATTGAGAAAATAAATGATCCATGAACGTATCAGGTTTTATTTATTTTTGAAATTTATCCAAATGCATTTATACTAACTCCTGAAAATTCTGTGTTTGGCTAATTAAAATAATTAACAAATTTAAGCGTAATAATATTTTTAATAAGTTGAAAATTTCACTCTGTATTATTAATATAGATAATAAATTTTATAGTTCGTTGAATTATCAAAAATATAAAATGATATAGGCTGATCCATTGAAAAAACGAGCACCGATAGTGCTAGATTTGACTAAAT